AAAAAAAAAAGATTTCTAACGAAGAAAGGAAGTTAGGGGCAGAAACTCTTAGAGCTTCGATCAGTGAAGTTATGTATAAAGAGGACTAGTTGGACCTGGGATTTGTGTAGAATCTCGAACTTTACCTGGTAACATTCAATGAAAAAGAAGAATTAGGGCACTTAGTGGGAGGCCGCTGGGACATAATTCTGTTCACATAAATGAGGACAGCAGGAGGAACGTGGCAATATGCAGACTAGAAGTGGCCAATTGTTTTTCTCCTAGAGTGACTAGAAACTTAATTTTTAAATTGCTTCCTGAATGTGAAGTCTTCCTAAGTTGCCAGGGATCCTGTCCCTCCGAGAATGACCCACGCAGGAGAGGGGAGGGGCCTGGAAGAGGATGTAGGCGTGGCCAACCCCGACAGGGTGGAGCCACGCCCCCTTCCCAGAAGGCACCGCAGCGGGAACCGGGCTGAGGTTCTTTCCGGCAGCTCCCCACGGGACTCGTAGTTTGGTCCCACAGCATGGATGGGCTCCAGCCTAGCGTGGGGCAGTTGAGGCGCGGGCGGGTCAGGCGCCGGCGCCAGCCCCAGTCCCACAGCGGGTCGGTCTTGGCTCTGCCCTTGAGGCCCAGGAAGGTCCGGAGGCAGCTGAGGAGACATGGCGCGTCCCGCGTGGCTGCCCTGAGGGCTCCGGCGCCGCCGGGCGAGGATTCCGAGGACTCGAGAGCGGAGCCGACGGCCGGCGGCGCGGGGGCGGCGCTCCCTAGCGGGCCTGCGGCGGCAGCCGGCGGGGACACGGGCCGGCGGGAGCCGCGTGGCCTGCGGGGGGCGGCGGAGCTGCTGGAGGCCTCGCCCGCCGCGCGCCTGGGGCTGGCCCCGGCCGGTCCCGCGGCCCTCCGCGGCTGCTCCGCCCGGGACGCTGTCGGGCCCGCAGGTGGACGAGGCGGGAGGGGAGCGTCCCCGGGACTCCCCGCTGCAGCGCGTCCTGGCGGAGCTGAACCGCATCTCCAGCAGCCGGCGGCGGGCCGCGCGCCTCTTCGAGTGGCTGATCGCGCCCGTGCCGCCAGACCATTTCTACCGGCGCCTTTGGGAGCGGGAGGCGGTGCTGGTGGTGCGGCAGGATCACGCCTACTACCAGGGCCTTTTCTCTACGGCCGACCTGGACGCCATACTTCGCCACGAGGAGGTGCAGTTTGGGCAGCACCTGGACGCCGCGCGCTACGTCAACGGGCGACGCGAGACCCTAAACCCACCGGGTCGCGCCCTGCCCGCCGCGGCGTGGTCCCTGTACCAGGCCGGCTGCTCTTTGCGCCTCCTCTGTCCGCAGGCTTTCTCTACTACCGTCTGGCAGTTTTTGGCGGTGCTCCAGGAACAGTTTGGAAGCATGGCAGGCTCCAATGTTTACCTCACTCCCCCCAACTCGCAGGGCTTTGCCCCTCACTACGATGACATCGAGGCTTTTGTGCTGCAGCTGGAAGGTAGGAAACTCTGGCGTGTCTACCGACCTCGCGTTCCAACTGAAGAACTGGCCTTGATATCTAGCCCCAACTTCAGCCAGGAAGATCTTGGCGAGCCGGTGCTTCAGACTGTGTTGGAACCTGGAGATTTGCTCTATTTTCCTCGGGGCTTCATTCATCAAGCAGAATGCCAGGATGGGGTGCACTCCCTGCACCTCACTTTGTCTACATACCAGCGCAATACCTGGGGTGACTTCGTGGAAGCCGTCCTGCCTTTGGCAATTCAGGCTGCAATGGAAGAAAACGTGGAATTTCGGAGGGGTCTGCCACGAGACTTCATGGATTACATGGGGGCCCAGCATTCAGATTCAAAAGATCCTCGAAGAACTGCTTTCATGGAAAAGGTGCGGGTCTTGGTTGCCCGCCTGGGACATTTTGCTCCTGTTGATGCTGTGGCTGACCAGCGAGCCAAAGACTTCATCCACGATTCTCTGCCCCCGGTGTTGACTGATAGGGAGAGAGCACTTAGTGTTTATGGGTTGCCAATTCGATGGGAGGCTGGAGAACCTGTAAATGTGGGGGCCCAGCTGACAACAGAAACAGAAGTCCACATGCTGCAGGATGGCATAGCTCGGATGGTGGGCGAGGGAGGCCATTTGTTCCTCTATTACACGGTGGAAAACTCTCGTGTTTATCATCTGGAGGAACCTAAATGCTTGGAAATATACCCCCAGCAAGCTGATGCTATGGAACTCTTGCTTCGCTCCTACCCAGAATTTGTAAGAGTAGGAGATCTGCCCTGTGACAATGTGGAAGACCAGCTTTCCTTAGCAACCATGTTGTATGATAAGGGGCTGCTGATCACCAAGATGCCTCTAACTCTAAACTAGTTTCTTGTTGATGGTTGAAATATTGCGAACTGATTCTCTACTGCCATTGTCACTTTTTTTTTAAAAACTCCTTACCTTGAAAATCACCAGTGTGGTCATACATACCTTTATGACTGCTTCAGTGTTACAGATCTCAGATGGTCTTCTAGAAAGAATCATTTCATCTAGGCAAAAAATTAAAAGAAATTGGAGGAAAAAAAAACAAACTTTTTTTTTTTGACAAATAACCTTGATCCCTGATCATTTCAGAATACCAGCTTCATCCTCCTCAGCCTTCAGGGTACTACTGTGCAACACTGACTGGGTCATACTGCTTGACACATTGGAAGTTTTTTGCAAGTGCATTTTTCATTTGAGTTTTTTCATCAGTTTTTTTTTGGGGGGGGGAAGGGATTGGGATTGGTATACTGTTTGTTATTATGTTTGTATGACTATTAGAAGAGTTATTAAAGTGACAAGAAATGTTTCCTTTTTCTAAGCCTAGGTTGTTATGTTGGTTGGTTTGAAGAAATGCAGGAGGAAGAGGGACATAAGGAAAATCTATAATGACTTGAAAGGCAATTTGGAGGAGTTGCAACATATAAAAAGCATGTTACCTGGTAGCTCATGCTTGTAATCCTAGGTACTCAGGAGGCTGAGATCTGAGAATTGCAGTTCAAAACCAGCCCAGGGGTCTGGGGATGTGGCTCAATGGTAGAGAGCTCGCCTAGCATGCCTGAAGCCCTGGGTTCGATTCCTCAGTACCACATACACAGAAAAAGCTGGAAGTGGTGCTGTGGCTCAAGTGGTAGGTTGTTAGCCTTGAGCAAAAAGAAGCTCAGGGACAGTGTCCAGACCCTGAGTCCAAGCCCCAGGACTAGCAAACAAAACAAAACAAAAATCAACCCAGGCAGGAAAATTCTTGCCTCCTTATCTCCAATTAGCTACACAAAATAAAACAGCCAGGGGCTGGGAAGGTGGCTCAATGGTAGAGTGCTTGCCTTGTATACATGAGGCCCTGGGTTCGATTCCTCAGTACCACATAAGCAAAATGAGAAAAAAGCCAGAAGTGGCACTGTGGCTCAAGTGGTAGAACGCTAGCCTTGAACAGAAGAGCTGAGGGACAGTGCCCAGGCCCAGAGTTCAGGCCCCAGG